AAAGAAAGAAAGAAAGAAAGAAAGAAAGAAAGAAAGAAAGAAAAAAAAAAAAGAAAAAATATAGTTGCATGGTTCTAAACATTAAAATGTTAAAATACTCCCTCTCAGTCTTTGTCACTCAATCTCACTATAATACAAAACTACTGCTAGTCTTACATATACTCTGGATAGACATAAAATATAAACAAATCAAATAGCTAAGCAAATAGTCTTTTTACAAAGGCTAATGTAATCATCGTTTTGCACTTTGATGTTTAAAAACAAATCTTGGGGGCTGGAGAGATGGCTCAGTGGTCTAAAGCGCCTACTTAGAACAAGCTTAGCAAAGCACAGGGATGGTGGTTCAATCCCCAGCACCACAGGCCAGCCAGCCCCGCCCCCTGGTGGGCTGAGCTGCCCCCCCCCATAAATAAATAAAAATTTAAAAAAAAAAATCTTGGAGATCTTTCCCTATAATCAATAAGAAGCCTTTCCATTTTTTATTAAAGGTATATATAACTTGAGTTATTAAAATGCCCTAATTAATACAACCTGCACCCTTTTGACAAACAGAAAGGTTGAGTACAATGAGTAATTTTAAATGTATGCCAATTCAAAAGCCAGAGCAAGTTTGCAAGCGAATTCATGAGACAGTTTCTTCCATTTCTGTCTAAGGATTGTGGTCCTGTGAACTGTTGTAATTTAACAAACATGCTCCGGGCATATACTGTGTTTTGGTTGTTTTTTTTTTTTTTTTTTTTGGCGGAACCGGGGATTGAACTCGGGGCCTTGTGCTTGCCAGGGAAGCGCATATTCTACTGAGCCATCTCCCCGGCCCCTACTGTGTGTTTGACACAATAAGATATGGAAGAAAAATCTAAAATAAGAAAATCTTATCTTGAAGCACTTGATAAAACACATATTGATTGGCTTACTTAAATTCCAATCCTTTTTAAAAAGGTTTTTAAGTTCTTTAATTTTTTTCCATAGGAAGATTCTTTTATTTATCTTTGGTTTTTTAAAAAAAATTAGGGGGGCTGGGGAGATGGCTCAGTGGAATAAGCGCTTCCCTGGCAAGTGCAAGGCCTGAGTTCAATCCCAGGTTCCGCAAAATAAATAAATAAATAAATAAATAGTAAAAAACAAACAATAAAAACATTAGAAATGATACAGATTGGGCCAGGCAGATAGCTCAGTGGTCTAGTGCCTGCCTGGCAAGCACAAGAACCCGGGTTTGATACCCGGTACTGCATGCCATACTGGCCCTGCCCTGAGCCAGCCACCAAAGTGGGCATGGTGGTGCACACCTATAATCCCGATACCAAGGAGGCTGAGACAGGAGGATCAGTATGAGACCAAGCCGCATAGCGAGACCCAGGCCTGGGCTAGGACTGGATCTGGGGGTCCCTAGATCGCGGCAGAAATTCTCACACGGCGGGCGGGGTGGGGGGGTGCTGAGGAGTGTTAGGGGGAGCCCAAGGGGGCGGAAGAGGTCTCACCCACACTGTGCCTGTGCTGGGACCGGTAGGTCCCGCCAGAGCGGGTAGTCAGAAGCTGTCCCACACACTCACCCGGCCTGGGCTAGGACTGGATCTCCTGGGCCTTTTAAATACAGCCTTTAAGGGGCCGGGGAGATGGCTCAGTAGAATAAGCGCTTCCCCGGCAAGCACAAGGCCCTGAGTTCAATCCCTGGTTCCGCAAATAAATACATAAATAAATAAGTAAATACAGCCTCTGCCCGTTGCCTGGGGGACTGAGTGCAGGATCTCAGCGGTGCCAGGAGCCGTTTATGGTACCAAGCCCTGTGTTTACTGTGCTTTCCCTAAACACATTTGCTTATGATACAGTTCATAGATCAGGCACAGTCAGCCCTTCGCAGTATTGACTCAGTCAAACAGAACAGTTTCTAGCAATACACTGTAGTAAGAGGAATCAAAGGGGTGGGAAGATAGCTCAATAGAATAAGCACCTGCCTGGCAAGTGCAAGGTCCTGAGTTCAATCCCTGGGGTATTGCAAAAAAAAAAAAAAAAGTAAAACCTACATGAGCTGGAGGTGTGGCTCAGTGGTAGGGCACTTGCCTGGCGTGCCTGAGGCCCTGGGATCGTCCCTAGTGCTGCAAACACAAAGAAAAGGTGGGCATAGTGGCACACGCCTGTCATCCCAGCACTTAGAGGCTGGGGCAGGAGGGTTCCATGAAGCTTGAGGCCAGCTTGGGCTTCACAGTGTGATCCTGTGCCCCTCTCTGTAGAGTGGGTGACACTGGGGCCGAGGCTTTTGGGTGATGGCGGCTCCCTGCTGTCCCCACAGCCGCTAAGACGTGTTCTGAGGACCAGTTCCTCTGCCTGGACAGCCGGTGTATCGCGCAGCATTTCGTCTGCGATGGAGAACACGACTGCCTGGATGGCTCAGACGAGGCCGCCTGCTCGACGCCCTTCTGCAAACCCGACGAATTCCAGTGTAACTCCTCAGCCTGCATCTTCCAGTTCTGGGCCTGTGACGGTGACCCCGACTGCCAAGATGGCTCTGATGAGTGGCCGCAGAACTGCGGTGGCCGGGACACCTTGGCCCCCCAGGGCAACACCGGGCCATGTACCTCGCTGGAGTTCCACTGCCGCAGTGGGGAGTGTGTCCATGGTGGCTGGCGCTGTGACGGTGCCCCTGACTGCAAGGACAAATCAGACGAGGAGGGCTGCGGTAAGGGCGGGAGGGTTCATCTCTGTCCCCTGGCTGCCCCAGTGGGGCCAGGAGGTCCCTGTCTCAGATTGCTCTGTGGGGGTGGGGGGTACACCCCGTGTCATCCCAGTGCTGTGGGAGGCTGAGGCAGGAGGGCTGCAAGTGTGAGCCCCGCCGGGTAACTTGGTTGACTCAGTGAGACCCTGTCTCAATAAGAAGTAACAAGATCTGGGGGTGGCATTCACTGAAAGGCCCTGGGTTCTGTCCTCAGTGCTATAAAATCACTTTATTCCTGAAGTGTGTGTGTGTGTGTGTGTGTGTGTTGTAACAGGGTCTCCGTATGTATGTAATTCAGGGCTTAAATTCCATGTGGCCCGGGCTGGCCTCAAACTCAGGTGCTGGGAAGACAGGTGTGCACCACCTCCCCAGCTTAGTTCCAGTTTCAGTGGCTCCAGCCCACAGTGACCATGTGCAGATGGCACCATGGGGCTCACCACAGAGAAAGGAGACCACTGTCCCTCTCTGCTGCCCTGCCTGCCCCACAGAAATCACACCCCCATCTCTTCCAGTGGTGGCCACCTGTCGCCCTGATGAGTTCCAGTGCACGGATGGCACCTGTATCCACGGCAGCCGGCAGTGTGACCGAGTACACGACTGTAAAGACACAAGTGATGAGGTCGGCTGCGTCAATGGTGAGCCCCAGCCGCCGGACAGGGGCGGGCGGAGCATGGCCCCAGTGACACCCCCAACCCTTTTTATCGTGAGACAGGGTCTCACTGAGTTGGCCAGGCTGGACTCCAGCCTTCAACCCCCAGCCTCGGTGCTGGGAGGTCGGGGTGCAGCACCAGATGCGGACGCCCAGCCAGCACCTGCAGCCCTGAATTTTTTCTCTGTCTCCCGCAGTGACACTTTGCGAGGGCCCGGACAAGTTCAGATGCCACAGTGGGGAGTGCATCGCGGTGCAGAAAGTGTGTGACAGGGCCCGAGACTGTCGCGACTGGTCGGACGAGCCCCTTAAGGACTGCGGTGAGGGGGACTGGGCCCAAGCGACTGGGGACTGGGGATGGGTGGGGAGGGCACCAGGGCAAGCCCAGGGTGTTGCCTAAATTGCATAGCATGCCTGGCACGGAGGCGCATGCCTGTCATCCCAATTACTTGGGAGGCTGAGGCAGGAGGGTTTGAGCCCAACCTGGCCACTTGGTGATTTAGCAAGTTTGTCTCTAGGGTGGCAGGAAGGGGGTAGCTGGAGGCTCCGGGGTGACCAGTTGTGTTCCCCACCCTGCATAGACACCAACGAGTGCTTGGACAACAACGGCGGCTGTTCCCACATCTGCAACGACCTCAAGATCGGGTACCAGTGCCTGTGTCCCAGTGGCTTCCACCTGGTGGACCAGCAGCAGTGCAGAGGTGAGGCCCAAGGAGGACCGGGCTCCACCGCCTTTCCCCACCATGCCCCTGCCTCCATTTGCCCGTGTGTCTATGGTGAGAAGGCTGCCCCCCATCCTGGGGCTCTCTGCGAGGTTTCTCAGGAGGCCACGAAGGCGCAGCATTGAGCACAAGGCTGACCTGCTTTGCTGTATATAGATAGATAGATAGATAGATAGATAGATAGATAGATAGATAGATAGATAGATAGAGATATAGATATAGATATAGATATATTTGGTACAGGATGTACAGGTCTCACTGTGTACTGTGTAAATCCGGACTCGTAGTGATTCTCCTGTTTGCAGCCTCCTAAGTGCAGGGATTACAGGCGGGCGCCACCATGCCAGGTCTCAATTGCTGTCTCAGCCTGAACTGGTGTTGGGGCTGGCACAGCAGGCCTTGTGTCTTGAGTGAATCATTAAAGAAACCCAGGTTTGGGGCCAGGGAGATGGCTCAGTGGAATAAGTGCTTCTCTGGCAAGCGCAGGGGCATGAGTTCAGTCCCTGCTTCCACAAAAAAAAAAAAAAAAAAAAACACCAAAGAAAGAAAAAGAAAAAGAAGAAAAAAAAAACGAAATCCAGGGTAGGCTGAGGTAGAAAGATCTCAAGTGCAAGTCTTGCCTGGGCAGTTTATTTATTTATTTATTTATTTATTTATTTATTTATAAAAAACCAAGTCCTGCTTATTTATTTGTGTGTGTGTGTGTGTGTGTG